TAAAAGTTTCCATTTATAAATGGAAAAAATAGAGCTCTGCTTTCCAGCGAAGTCTGCTTTCCGGCAGTAGCTTTGAACCTAACCTGCTGAATAAGTGGGGCCCTACTGTACTAATAATAATCACTCTTGGGCACATTAACCCTTAAATTGTCTAAACGTAGATCTAGGTTCACATGCGTAGCACTCCGTCCTTGATTTTCCCCATTTGAAAGCATGTAAAAAAATTGTAGATCTACATTCGGAGTTCCCCCCCGCACGTGGACGTAGATCTACGTTTAGAGAGTAAGGGTTAAATGTCTTATTTTATGCCAATATAGACATTTTCATTAATCCAACTACGACATTTACTTCAAAATTATATAAGAAACATGTTGCATAGCATATAAACATTTTATGTTTATATACTATGGTTGTGTGGTAGTTGGGCGGATGGAAAACATTACGTCGCTCCCCTTAATACATAACACTTTTGTTTACAATTCTTGGCATGAATTATTCATTACTTCTCCCTTTGTTTATGATGGCATCTAAAGGTAGTTGTTAGAAATGATTAAACTCAGTGAACATGGTATGTCGATGGTAATACTACGGCTCTGGGCCACATTAAATATCGTGTAACTATGTAGGTAGGTGTAGCTATGTAGCCCAGGTGGACTATACACCTATATTATTGTTATAACTGATAATTATACTTATGTGTACCTGTACCTAAGTAAATTTACACACTGTGCTGGCATGCAGGTACACATTAAAATCACTAAGAGTGTCTTATTAGTCTTGAAGACACCATATTAATAATAATAATAACACTTAATAATAATCACTCTGATGAGCAATAAATATCGTATAAAACATTAATACTACAGCGGACCCCCTGTATTCGATATTAATCCGTTCCTGAGAGCTCATCGAATACCGAAAATATCGAAAAGCGAATCAATTTTCCTCATAAGAAATAATGGAAATCAGATTAATCCGTGCAAGACACCCAAAAGTATGAAAAAAAAAAATTTTGCTACATGAAATACTAAGTTTAATGCAATAGAATAATTACAATAACAACAATAACAATAGAATAATTGACACTTACCTTTAATGAAGATCTGGTGATGATTGATGGGATGGGAGGAGGGAAGAGGTGTTAGTGTTTAGAAGGGGAATCCCCTTCCATTAGGACTTGAGGTAAAAGTCCTTTTCTGGGGTTACTTCCCTTCTTCTTTTAATGCCACTAGGACCAGCTTGAGAGTCACTGGACTTCTGTTGCACAACATATCTGTCCTTTAGTGGCCTGTACCTCCCGTTCCTTTATGTAATGCATCGAATACCGGATTTATTGAATACCAATGCCATTGAACACCGGGGGTCCACTGTATAGACATTTTTGCTTAATCCATCTAAATACACCCCACAGTAGAATAGATTAACATAATTATCAAAGGACCACAATGGAAATAAGTCAGTCTAATTTTTTTGGGTTATCCTAGGTACTTTACACATATGCTGCTATGTATGATAATCTATGTAACTGTATTTGTGTATACCCGAATAAACTTACTTAAATATGAGATGTGGTAGCCAGGCGACTTGTAGTCCAACATCAGAGACGATGTGTACACTACAATATTACTGGGGGTAACTAGAAAATTATTCCTTTTGTATGCCTTCACTCAGGGCATCATTTCTTCTAAAAATGGTGTTACATGAGAATGGGAGTGTTTCTCTTTATTTATTCTACTGTATCAATGTGGAGACAACTTGTACACAATGTAAAGTGACGCAAACCAGACGCGTTCGCTTGGTTTGTTTACATTACGTGTGGGTGGGGTGGGGAGGACTTCCCTGGGTGGATTCCATGCTTCCCAAACCTGACTTCCTACAAATAAAACTCACCTCTCATCCTACATTAAGACTACAGAATGTACTGTATATGTATTTTATCGCTCTGGGGAGCTTTAATTAAATATCATAGTATATTATGTGTGGGTGGGGTGGGGAGGATTTCCCTGGCTGGCTACCATACTTCCCAAACCTGACTTCCTACAAATTAAACTCACCTCTCACCCTACATTAAGACTACAAATATATTGAGATAAGTAATGGTTGTACTTTGTGTGTATTTTTCTTTTTATTGTTTTTAATGCCTAGTTCTATTGCTAACGTAATATATGTTAGCGTAAACTTGTTACCTGGCATTTATATGCATTTATAAGTGGAAAAAAATGGTGTTCTGCTTTCCTGCAATGTCTGCTTTCCGGCAGTAACCTGGAACCGAACCTCCCGTATAAGTGGGGCCTTACTATATTTGGGAGTTGACTTGTCAGCGGATGGGTTTATGAAGGATCAGGTAAACCATAGAATTGATGAAAAAAGGTGAGTTGTGTGTTGAGGTATTTGTGGAGACAAAGAATGTTATTCATGGAGGGAAAGAAGGGAATGTATGAAGGCATAGTGGTACCAACACTCTTATATGGGTGTGAAGCATGAGTTGCAAATGCTGCAGCGAGGAGGCGGCTGGATGCACTGGAAATGTCGTGTTGAAGGGCAGTGTGTGGTGTAAATATGCAGAGAATTCGTACTGTGGAAATTAGGAGGAAGTGTGGACTTACTAAAAGTATTAGAGGGCTGAAGAGGGGCTGTTGAGGTGGTTTGGTCATTTAGAGAGAATGGAACAAAGTAGAATGACTTGGAGAGCGTATAAATCTATTGAGTAAGGAAGGCGGGGTAGGGGTTGTCCTTGACAAGGTTTCAGGGAGGGGGTAAAGGAGGTTGTGTGGGCGAGAGGCTTGGACTTCCAGGAAGCGTGAGTGAGCTTGTTAGATAGGAGTGAATGGAGGCGAATGGTTTTTGGAAACTGATGAGCTGTTGGAGTGTGAACTGGTTAATATTTTGTGAAGGGATTCAGGGAAACCAGTTAGTCGGACTGAGTCCTGGAAATAGGAAGTACAATGCCTGCACTTTAAAGGAGGGGTTTAGGATATTGATAGTTTGGAGGGACGTCTCAACTGTTGTATCTGAGCGCCTCTGCAAAGACAGTGGTTATGTGTGAGTGATGGTGAAAGTGTTGAATGATGATAAAAGTTTTTTCTTTCTTTTTGGGTTTTTCTTTCTTTTTGGGTCACTTTGCCTCGGTGGGAAACGGCCAATGTGTTAAAAAAAAAAAAAGGAATAGAACTGTATTCCATAATCTAAAATGAGCCCTTTCCAGCAATATATAAAGTTTTAGTACTCTAACATGTAGGGTAAGCTTTGAGATTTGTTACTTATACTGTACTGTTCAGTATTTCTTGATCTGACATTAAGTATTCTCCTTGCTTTATTGCAAGCATTTGTTCTATGTTGCCATGGTTTTAGTTTACTGTAACCAGAATTTTTTTTTTTTAACCTCCAGTTTTAGTTTTATTCTGTATTACAGTATTTTATAGGTGTCTGTTTTTTTTTTTTTTCCAGGTTTGGACCTTAAATTTCCCTATATTGAACTGCATCTGCCTTTTTCAAGCTATGCCATTAAATGTTGTGAATCATCCTGAAGCTCCACTGTGTTCAATTCAGAATTAGTTAATTAGCATCTTTTTTGTTGAATCTACATGTTTACTTAGGTCATATATTCTAATACAGTGGGCCCTCGACTAACGCTATTAATCCGTTCCTGAGAGCTCATCGTTAGTCAGAATAATCGTTAGTCAAGTTAATTTTCCCCATAAGAAATAATGGAAATTAAATTAATCCGTGCAAGACACCCAAAAGTATTGAAAAAAAAAAAATTTAACACATGAAATATTAATTTTAATACACACAAATTGAAGAAGACATGCACAGTTACATAACACTTACCTTTATTGAAGATCTGGTGATGATTGATGGGATGGGAAGAGGGGAGTGTGTTGATGGTTTTAGTGTTTAGAAGGGGAATCCCTTCCATTAGGACTTGAGGTGGCAAGTCCTTTTTCGGGGTTACTTCCCTTCTTCTTTTAATGCCACTAGGACCAGCTTGAGAGTCACTGGACCTCTGTCGCACAACATATCTGCCCATAGAGGCCTGTGCCTCCCGTTCCTTTATGACATTCCTAAAGTGTTTCACAACATTGTCAGTGTCACCATTAAACACTTGTTCAGGTTTCAGTCCTTCACTGTCTATGTACTCCTTGAATTCCTGCACATATTTTTCAGCTGCTTTTTGGTCCAAACTGGCAGCCTCACCATGCCTTATCACACGCCTCACCATGCCTTATCACACTATGTATGCCACTACGATTCTTAAATCTCTCAAACCAACCTTTGCTGGCCTTAAATTCACTCACATCACCACTAGTTGCTGGCATTTTTCTAATTAAATCGTCATGCAACTTCCTAGCCTTTTCACATATGATTGCTTGAGAGATGCTATCTGTTTTTCGTTTATCCATACCAATAACAGTCTCTCAACATCTTCTATCACTTGCAATCTCAGTTTCAAAAACATAGTTGCACCTTTGGCAAGAACAGCTTCCTTGATTGCCGTTTTCTTGGCCACAATAGTAGCGATGGTTGATTGGGGTTTTGTGTACAGCCTGGCCAGCTCGGAGACATGCACTCCATTTTCATACTTAGCAATGATCTCTTTCTTCATATCCATAGTAATTCTCACCCTTTTTGCTGTAGGGTTGGCACTAGAAGCTTTCTTGGGGCCCATGGTGACTTATTTTGCAGGTGCAATCACTAAAAAGGCTGTGATAATATGAAATGTTCGATTGTATGCTTGGAAGCGACCGCGGTGGCTGGCTGGCTTGTAAACACTGGCCAGAAGTGGACGCGTCTCAGACGGAACGAATAGTGTTGGTTGAGTTTTTTAGCGCTAATCGAGGCAAAATTTTTGCGATAAAATGTATCGCTAGTCAGATTTATCGTTAATCGATGCCATCGCTGGTCGAGGGTCCACTGTACTGTGCTCTAAATAATTTTAAGACTTGATTTCATATGACTTTCACCTATTTGCAACACTAATCCTGCTATTTTTTTTTCAGGTAACTGCTTGTTGTTGCCTTTTTCTTGCTGGCAAGGTTGAAGAAACTCCCAAAAAGTGTCGAGACATTATGAAAACTGCTAAAAGCCTAATGGATGACCTGACTTGGGCCGAATTTGGCACAGACCCTCGGGAGGAGGTGAGGTGCTCTGGTTATTATTCCTAAAAATTATCGTAAGGAAATATGTTAATCCTTTGAATGGAAAGTTAAATAAAATTATATTGCACTTGAGGGGGTTATTAGTCTTTAGTCCACTTCCATTTAAAACAAGGATGTATGTAAATAATATTTAACAATAAGCAATCCCATGGCATGTAGTACTTGCAGGTAGACAGTGAGTGAGAAGAAAGATCATGTAAGTTGCATTGTCCATTTATCCAATTATAGTTGACTTATACAGTGCTTCCTACAATTTCACATGGGCCTACATTCTTATTGGGCTTAGAGAATCCAGGAACCATGAATACAGTAACACTAAATTCTGTCTGTATAATTACACTTTTTACAGTTATTACAGTGCATGTTATGCAAACTAATATAAGTACAGGTATTGCTTTATAACTTTACTTTGATAATGATGATGATGTTCCATGGGAGGGCATTTAGATGATTCCTCAGAAGAATCGTTTGTTCCTTACTTGTTGGTTATGGTGACTGATGTACTGGTGGTGGTGACTGTGGTAGATGAGCTGCACTATAATGTCTGCCAAGAGTAGTGGCACTGTGCTCCCCCCCATCCCTCCTACCAGCTGGCATGTCTGATAACCCCAATTTCCTATTGAATTGCATCATGATCTTTCTCTTAGGACACGATTTACTTTCTCCACTCTTGCTGAGTTCAGGAGCTGTGATCAGTGCTAGAACACAGTCATAATGCACAAATACTATATGAATACAGGAAAAAATCAGTCTTGTGGGTATGAGAGGAAATCGACATAATTACAGCTGGAAAGAGTTGAAACATTGTAGGCTCATGTAGCAAACACATCAACACTGCTCATGTTCCTTTAAAATTTTTACTTTAAACCAGTGAAATATCATTTGTACATAGATAAAATGAAAAATCAAATTTGATTTTTCTTCACATTTTTCTTCCCTGGAAAAAACTTAAATTTTTCAAAATATCTAGTGGAGACCCTTAGGATTTTTTTTTTTCCCAACAAGTCAGCCGTCAACTAATTCAGTGACAGGCTTGTGTAAGTGCAGTAAAGTGGAGGCAAGTGGTTTTTCCTGACTTGACCTGCTTTTGGAATGTGAGCAAGATAACATTTATGCAGAAATTTAGGTAAATTGGTTAGCCAAACTTTAGTCATGAAGATGGGAAATACAGTGCCTGCACTTCAAAGGAAAGGTGAAAATGTTGCAGTTCGAAGGGTCACCTGAACAGTGATGTTGACACACTTTTAGCAAGATAGTGATTGGAGTGCATGATGGTGAATGTGTTTTCTCTTTGTGTTACCGGACCTCGGTGGGAGATAACCAATATGTTAAAAAAAAAAAAAAAAAGTGTGCTGTTGTAGGTATACCACTAGAGTGGAAAATAAAATTAAAAAATATAATGGGTAGGAAGAGTATTAATATTAAGAAAGAGGAAAATTCCTTTGAATGATACTACTTTCCATGTGTTTTATTAATGGGAAGACCAAAGGGAAGTTTGAGTGAGGTGTGTTTTGTAAGGAAATGTCTAGAGTAAAGAGAAGAATATGTATTAATATATTAACACATTAATATGCAGTAATCTACTACAGAATATCATTGTATAGTCTGCATAAGTTTGGCACATTTTTATGATTATTGTGTAATAATTCTCCATGGGGAATTGGAACAGAGTTCTTCCTCCGTAAGCCATGCGAGTCGTAAGAGGTGACTAAAATACCGGGAGCAAGGGACTAGTAACCCCTTCTCCTGCATATACATGTATTACTAAATTTAAAAGGAGAAATTTTCGTTTTTCCTATAGGGCCATTCTGCCTTGGTGGAATATAGCCAGTTTGTTGAAAGAATAATACTGTAATAAAATTAACAATAATAATAATACTGCAGTGTGTATTTAATTTTAGAATAGAAGTTTAGATGTACAGTTGACCCCTGAGTTTCATGATTAACCCGTTCCAGAGAGCCCGCCGAAGGTCGAAATTCAGGAAACTCGAAACCATTTTCCCCATAAGAAATACAGTGGAACCTCAAATATCGAACTTAATCCGTTCCAGGAGCTAGTTCTAAATTCGAAAAGTCTGAAAATCGAAGCAATAATTCCCATAAGAAATAATGGAAATACAATTAATCCGTTTCAGAAACCCAAAAATATTCACAAAAAAATACATTTTATAGAGGTTAATTACAGTTTAACATATACACAACAAATACTATAGTGTTCAATTATGTATATAAATATAAAATAACATTTTTACTTACCTTTATTGAAGATTGGTGATGGCATCTAGAAGATAGGGAGGAGGAGAGAGGGAGTTGGGGTTAGTGTTTGGAAGGAGAATCCCTCTCCATGAGGACTTCAGGTAAAGCCCTCTCTGGAGTTACTTCCCTTCTGTCTTTTAATAATCGTAAAATGTTTGAATGAGAGTGCAGGTTAGTGTTCATTCAAGCATCAACAAAGCCAGACTGGCTCACGGCGCCTGCGCGGGGACGCGGACAGAGCGGGCTGGCGGACAGGTCAGTACCCGGCGGTCCGAAAATAGGGGCGAGTTCGATAATGGGGACAAAGTTGGTTCAGAAAAAAGGGTTCTATTTTTGAAACGTTCGATATGTGATACGTTCGAAATTTGAGGTTACACTGTAATGGAAATAAAATTAATCCTTTCCAGACACACAAAAATATTAAAATAATTTTTTTTTTTTTCAAATTAAATAAAGATTTACATAATGAAAACAATCAGAAATCAAGTACATGCATTTAAAAAAAAATAATAACATTACACTTACCTTTACTGAAGACTTCTGCGTGGATGGAAGACGGGAGGAGGGGATAGGAGGAAGGTGTACACTATTGTTTGGAAGGAGAATCTGCTTCGATTAGGACTTTCGGTAGCAAGTCCTTATCTGGGGTTACTTCCCTTCTTCTTTTAATGCCACTGGGAACAACTTGAGAGTCACTGGACCCCTGTCGCACAAAATATCTGTCCAGAGAGGTCTTTTTCTGGCTTTTCTTTAAGATTTCCCTGCCTGAAGTGGGACACAACACTGTCATTATACATGTTGCAGATATGGCTTGTTTCAGCTTGGTCAGGGTGATACTTTTCAACAATACTTTGCAACTCATTCCACATTCCACACATGTCCTTAATCACTGAAGAAGGCACCTCATCCACTCATCTTCCTCCTCCTCTGAAGCAAGTTCCTCGGCTGTGGTCTGATGCTGTTCCATTGAAGCTCTTGCAGTTCGTCAGTGGTTAGCTCTTCCCTGTGGTCCTCCACCAACTCTTCCACATCCCCGTCACTCACTTTATTTACCAAAGGGCTTGCACTAGCTTTCCTTGGATCCATGATGACTTATTTAGCAGTTGCAAGCACAAAAAACAATGGATTATTATGAAATGTATTGTATGAATCCGCGGGGTGATGGTCACGTGTTGGTAAACAATAGCACACTGAGCGTGAATGGCGTGGGAGACTGGCTTGGTGTGTGCGGTGACGGGTGGATGGGTACCGGACGGTCGCCGAACACGAGTCTTTTCACGAAACTCGAGGCCAAATTTTTCCAAAAAACTTGCCAAAGGTCGAATTTCACGAAAGTCGAGGCTGCCGAAACTCGGGGGTCCACTGTCTGTAAATACAGTATACATTTAATGTTTATTAACGTTGATGATTGTAGCATTTTTAACCAAGTATACTAAATGAGTATTTGAAGTTTTTTACATTAATATATGATGTACTCAAGTCTAACTGTTTTTCAGGTTATGACTTTGGAGAGAATCCTCTTGCAAACTATTAAGTTTGATTTTATTGTTGAACATCCATACACCTATTTATTGAAATATGCAAAATGTCTCAAAGGTGAGTATTATTAACTCTCTCAGTGGTGAATGACCCTCAGAGATTTATTCTGTTAATAAGTATTGTTATTATTAAAAGCTCTAGGATATGGCTCAGTCATACTTATTGATCAGCAGTAGCATACTTAGATGATAGGTTGCTCTAGTGTTTGTTGCAGCAACATCTGGTAACACACTTCATCTTGTAACACACTTCAGTGGGGTTGCCTTGATGATGAAGGGTTCTTGATCCAAGAAATTAGAGCTACCTTCCTTGGATCAAAGCTGATTTCCTTTCATTTCTCTGGTGCTGTACACCTCTTTAAGAGGTTGGGCTATTTTCCTTAATTATAATACAGTAAGAAGCATTGATTCCTAAATATGAAGCCAAGTGTTTATACTTTTTTATCCAAGAAAAACTAGGTAGTGTTGAAGAATATAAAGTTATTTACAAATTTTGTATTGCAAGGAATGAGCATAGCCTAAAGCAAACATTTCATGATACATGATTGAAGCAATTGAATCTAGAACAGAACACACTATGGCAGAAAATAGAGCTAAATGGGAAAGTAAAAAAAGAACTACAGTATTTCAAAGGAGGCAAGTAGAGAGGCAGTTAAAATTTGTAATATGGAAGTTAATGCAAAAACAGTCAAAGTTACTCCATATCCACATAGGAGACTTGTCATTGAAAGTTGAGGTGATAAGACAACATTAGGAATATACAGTATGTAAAATAACTTTTAAAAGATTTCAGTCATCACAGTCAAACATGAGCTAGTGTCATAAGTGAAAAGAATAACATACCATGTGGAGCTGGCAAATATTAACACATTGAACCAGAAAGCAATGGGAATCTTTAAAGTTTTCAACATATCAAGGTCAACAGGACCTGACAAAAATACTGCCATAGATATGTAGAGTCTTTGTCAAAGCTCTGAACAGGTTACCTGCTCAAATCAACAAATCACAAGATAGAGGGAATTTGCCACACTCCTGGAAGACTGCGAAGTTGTCTCTAAATATTTATTAAGGGCTAACAGATAGGAGGCACTAAACTACAAACCAGTATTTGCAATGATTATGATGTAGTAATTAATGGAAAGAATAGAGAAAATGGGTTGAATTTGTTGAGAATACAGACTTCATCACAGAACAACAGTGCAGTTTCAAGAATGAGAAGTCATGTCTTGCAAACCTAATGGATTTGCTACAGGCTGATGGAGACTAGGTAGGAAATAGAGGGATGGGCAAACTCCATGTTCCCAAACCACACGAAAGCTTTAACAAACACAGGAAAGTACTACATTAGCTGGAGACATTCCTGAGTGACAGGTAGGGAACTAACTTGAATTAACCCTTAACCCTTTAGTGTTTGTTTACAACAAATAGGGTACATTTTTAGGCCTACTTTGAGCCCTTGCAGAACTTAATCAGTGCACAGGAAATTAAGATTGCTACGCACCAATAGAGCAACTCTTTGTCATCCTCTAGTAACAACTCAAATAGCCCCTAATTCTTTTTCAAGCAGAGCGACAAGTAAAGATGTGAAGCAGTATAGTTTTAGACCTGGGAGTATGTGTTACCTAGTCATTTACAATTGCTCATAAGTGTAAAGAATGACTGTTTGAACTCCTTTTTTCAAAAATTCATAAATAAATTATCAAAAATATAGCAAAAGTCACAAAAGTAAAAAGTCTTAAAATGGGCCATTCTGTAACACTAGTGGGTTAAGCTGTTGGGACCTCCCAGATTAAAATCCCCTTCTGTGTTAGCATTTTTAAAAAATATTTCCTAAAATGATAAAGAATCTTTTTGAAAGGTGATGACACCAAAAAGGCAGAAATTGATGTAATATTTGACTATTAGTGGTATTTTAGAATAACCTCCTCTTGACAAACTGCCCCTCAAGAATAAGAACAGGAAGCTACAGTTTTAATTATAGCAGTTATACTCTAGACTTCTGCCAACTTCATTTGCTTTTCTCAGATTCAGAAGCCTATTAAAGGAAACAGATATTTACTACCAGAAATTGAACACCCATCCCCTGCAAATCATGTGAAAAACTGGTAACTTGATGTTAGATGAATGTCTACTGATTGGCCACTTAGTTCAGTGGCCACTGAAAAAAAAAATATGGTTCAAGGATGAGGCATTACTTACACAACATTTTGCTTGGTACAGGCTTTAACACGTCAGTGGAAGCTATAAGGAAGGTCAGTTTTCAAGAAACAAACAAATTGGAAAACAAAACAACTGGATGACTTTTATGGTCAGTCCTCTACCATTATAAAGTCAAGAGATGTAATGATTCAGGATAGACTTAAACATTGCCCAGTCTTCATTCACCATCTGTATGGTTTTTTATGAATTGTTACAAACACTAAATTTATTCTTCAAGATACACGAGTTCATATACCTCATCAAAGCAGTGGAGGAACATTTTGTATTAAGTTTGGCGGATTGCTCCTGGAAGCTTACATCACATACATTTTCAACAATGCCTTTATCAACATTTTAGTGACCAGTGACTGATGATTACTGAATGTTCTCTGATTTTCCTCGATGGTGCTGCTGCATTTTATGACACTTGCCTCTTGAAACATTTTCTCAGGGTTTTCAAATCAACTTTGAAGATAATTTTTGGGTCTTCCTATACAATCAGGTGCATGCAGTTATAATGATGATTCTATAAGCATTGCTTGTGTTGTGACAGTGCATGCATGTTTATGTTCAGCAGTGTTTTTAGATTACAAAAAGTCTTGAAAATATAAATTTTGTCACATTTACCAAAGAAAAGGTATAACAAAAGGGGGAAATGAGGGTAGGCCTAGTGAAGTTTCAAATTTTCTTATTGGTGTGACAAGCATCTTACATTTATCAATCATCTTACATTTTTACTACTTAGTGTATGGGTGATGTGCAGGTACATAGTGCTGCCATTGGCAGGATGTTCCTCATGTAAGGTTCACTGCTAACTACAGTATTTCTTAATACACATGAAGCTTTATTTCTGCTTTCCTGGAAAACATGATAGGAGAACAACATAAAGCTCATAATAGATGCAGTCATATTCACGTACAAAATAAACAGTCTTTGCAATGATCAGATGTGACATCAGAGCAGGTCAAGAGAAACAGATAATTTCAGAAGCTAGAAGGAGTAGAAATGTCATATATGAGAGCAGTGTGTGGTGTGAATATTATGCAGAGAATTCAGAGTGCAGAAATTAGGAGACAGGGTAGGGTTAATAAATGGGGACTGAAGAAGGGTTGTTGAGGGTGTTTAGGCATTGAGAGAGGTGGCCCATTTTAGGTACAGACTAGGGGGTTTTATGGTTTGATGTGTTGTTGGATTCTGGGAAACCAGTCAGTCAGATTTAAGTCCTGAAGGTGGGAAGTACAGTGCCTGTTTTCTGAAGAAGGGGTGGGAATGTTGCAGCTGAAAGGGTCACATGAATTGTGATGTTTGCACACTTCTGCCAAGACAGCTATTGATTGAGTGATGGAACTGTTTCCTTTTTTAGGTCACTCTACCTTTGTGGGAAATGGCCAGTGAGTAAAAAAACAATTCCTGGGTTGATGTGACTTGAAATGAGAATTTCTCTACAGTATCATGAAATTAAGAAATTATGTAGGGAGCACTGGGGACTGAACTGCAGTCCTTTCAGCTGCAAGCTCAGAGCTGTATTGTCCTCATTGATTCTTGCACAGTTTGTTAGCTTATTTACTGAGATCCTGACGGTCAATCCCAAAAGACTTCAAAGAATGACTTCCTTCCAAAAATACTTTACTATTCATTACCCACAACAACTTATCAACTTAGCTGACATATGTATAAACTTCATTTACTTCAGTTTTGATTACCTTTTCAATACACAGATTTGCCATGGTTGTGAGCTCCTAACTCTGTGCTATCCTTGCCCGTCTCTTCATCTTCGCTAAAATTTTCCCCTGTACAGTACTCTGCATTGACAGTGTTAAATTAACAATATATTTATTCTCCCCTCTATATAGTTAAATCAATTAATTTTTTTTATCCAACAAACTGGCCATATCCCACTGATGCAGGGTGACCTAAAAAGAAAAACAAACGTTTCTCTTTTTAAATTTAGTAATTTATACAGAGGGGGTTACTAGCCCCTTGCTCCGGGCATTTTAGTCGCCTCTCACAATATGCATGGCTTACAGAGGAAGAATTCTGTTCCACTTCCTGATGGAGATAAGAGGAAATAAACAAGAAGAAGAACTAGCAAGGAAATAGAAGATAACCCAGAGGGGTGTGTATACATATATGCATGTAGAGGTTGGTGGATGAGTTTAGTAGGGTATGTAAAAGAAGAAAATTGAAAGGGAATATAGGAAAGAGTAAGGTGATGAGGATAAAAAATTAGGTGGCGAAAGATTGGATATCAGATTGAAGGGAAAGAGTATGGAGGTGAATGTATTCAGATATTTAAGAGTGGATTTGTCAGCAGATGGGTCTATGAAAGATGAAGTTAATCATAGAATTGATGAGGGGAAAAAGGTGAGTGGTGAAATTAGGAGTCTGTGGAGACAAAGAACATTGTCCATGGAAGCAAAGAGTGGAATGTATGAGAGTATAGTTATACCAATGCTCTTATATGGGTGTGAAATATGGGTGGTGAATGTTGCAACAAGGAGAAGGCTGGAGGCAGTGGAGATGTCATGTCTGAGGGCAATGTGTGGTGTGAATATAATGCAGAGAATTTGTAGTTTGGAAATTAGGAGGAGGTGCGGGATTACTAAAACTATTATCCACAGGGCTGAGGAGGGGTTATTGAGGTGGTTTGGACATGTAGAGAGGATGGAATAAAATAGAATGACTTCGAGTGTATAAATCTGTAGTGGAGGGAAGGCGGGGTAGGGGTCGGTCTAGGAAAGGTTGGAGGGAGGGGGTAAAGGAGGTTTTGTGTGCGAGGGGCTTGGACTTCCAGCAAGCATTCATGAGCTTGTTAGATAGGAGCAAACAGAGATAAATGGTTTTTAGGACTCGACGTCT